AGGCCTAGCAGCAAAAACCATTGTCATATTCGGAATCAGCATAGTCGATAACCTATTCTCCACTAGATTTCAACAAAAAAGCGAGCGGACACTTGGGGCAGTTCCCTCGTAAGTCCATTAACTGACAATACTCAGAGACTGTATAGCTTTTACAAAAAATCAAATTTCTCAGCTAATATACGACCAAGTGCTGGGAATTTTTTTTCCCATAAACCTCGAAAGTAGTACTATCTAATATATGACAGAATTTTTTTATTGCATATGGTCATAGGTATAGATAGCACTTGACCTCGACTACTTATGCTCCAAACAGAAGCTCTTAATCTACTTCGTAGACCGAAATATAAACATCGCAAATTTCACTTTTATACAGTTATCGTTTTAGACCTTTTAAATATTTCACGAAAAACCATTCCACTGCCATGCAATAGTTCATAAGCCATACACTGAATTGCGTACAGCTAAAGTATAACGGTTATACAACTCATTCATTTAAATAATCAAGTAATATCAAGCACATTTATTTTTTACTTTTCTTTTTTTAAACAGTATGAATTATTATCAATCAATGATTGTTGTTCATCGTTTGATGAAGACGTAGTCAAATGGAAAAGATTATTTGTTAATCTAACAAATGGTTGTTCAACAAAACAATACCATATACAAGCAATTAATACAGATATAATTAATGTAAAAATAAAACAAATGGGTGCAGCTAAATCAATATGAACTATTAATAATTTATTTAATGGTCCTTTATAAACAAGATCCGATGCTATACGAAAATGTAATAAATAAACAGAATAACTTAATTTAGCTAATGGTGTAAATATATGAAAACATAAAATTTGTTTTAAATATTTATTATGATATGAATGTTGCTTATCAACTAATGTTGTATATAATAAAAATGCAAAAATAATTGAAATTAATTGTCGAATTGAACACATAACAATTGTTATCATAATTTCTGATGGTTTCAATTGAGTTATTTTTAATTGACGTATAATACTTAAAAATAAACAACACATTAATATGCCATAAATAAGTTTTTTAAAACGGCTAAAAGTATTATTATTTTGTATATTATGTCCTGATAATAATAATTTGACAGCTAACAGTGAACCAACTATAAAACTACTATATCTTATATGTAATGGATAATAATAATATTTCAAATGATTTTTTAATATAATTGAACTTTGAAGATAATTTAAATCATTTGTCACTGTTGTTTCATTTATTGATAATGATGGTAAATTATTAAATTCAAAATATATTTTGACTTGTGTATAATTTAGTGCAATTAATGGATGTAATTGTACACCTTCTTTTTTTGTATTCATTGTTCTTGAATCAAAACAATAGAAACAAACACAGAATGATGATAATAATAATATATATAAAATATCATAAATTTGTCTTAAATTTAATTTATATTTCATTGATAGAAAATATATTAATATAGATAATAAAATATAGACTTGAAAATCAAGACTATTTGACCATGTTGCAATCAATGATAAAGACCAATAATCAGTATTTATATAATTTTGTATTAACGGTAAATGAATAAAATACTGAATCCAGTTTTTATTCATTGATGAATCATCAAAAATAAATATATATAAATATATTAATCCTAAACCAGGTAAATAACGTAAAAAACGTTTAAAAATAAACAAATAAATATTTATGTTTTCTTTGATTGTTAATGTTTGATAGGTTAATAAAAAACCGGTAAGTAAAAAAAATATTTCTAATATCAGTGGTGCATAACTTGTAACTAGAAATGAATTTGTTTTTAAATATTCTAACCATTCTTTGTTTGGATACATCGGTATCAATAGAACAAATACCATTACAATATGTAGATAAACAAGGGATAAATGAGCACTTGTTCTTAAACCATCAATTGTTGAAAATTTATTTGATTTAAATAAACAATTAAAATCTTTTAAAGGTTGAAAAATAAATGAAGATGATGACATTTTTATAAATAGTAGACGAAAGAAATCTGAAACAGTTAATTCTATGTTAATTTCAAAATGGCTTAAGTCAAGAAACTTCTATAATACGATGTAAATTACACATGATCCTATTTAGGATTCTATATAATTCTACTAAAAATACACAGAATGTCTGGATATTAACTTTTTCATTCGAGAAAATAGTAGGAGCTTTGCTGCTAGTCACCTATAAAAAAATATCTCTCGTTACTTTGTTTCAAACATCCACCACCCGCTATTAGTGTTTACTTGTTTTCTTCTTGCGTATCCTATCCTCTATTTTATCTTATATAACTGTTTATAGCAGTTTTGTACTTCATTACCTCACTATTTAAATCATCAGCTGCTCTCTTTTCTGTATGTTAAATGGAAAAGGAAAGAAAGAAAAGTAATATTAGTCGTAATATAGAACGTGCGTTTTCTATTGTCTTTATTGTTCTCCTTGTATATTGTTACAGTATGGAAACAACAAAACAAAAATATCATTAGTTAGAAAGCGTGCATGTATATGATATAAAATGTTTAACCTTTAAGTACATATTTCATGTTCAAAATAACTAATTTTCTACTGCATTACATTGATCAATAATGAAAATTACTTAGTCTTATATTGATAATTATACAGGCATAAAACATTAATTTAAAAAAAGTAAATTTGTAAGAAAGAAGAATGATTTTGTTTATTCGCTGTTATTTTTTTGAGATCATCGGTAGGCGTTTTCTCTAAACGTATATACGATTTCCATAAAATTCTTATAAGATTTTTTGAATTAAAGAGCTGCTAGGTGCTTGCTGATTTACGTTGTATTACCTCAATGCATTACTATTTTTTCGAAAACGCCTTCTCTCTCGATGCACTATGTTTTACTCGGTCTTTCCTTCGAGAACATGATATATTCAGGCCACTCAACATCACATGAGTCACGTTTTCGTTGTTTAGCCTTTTCGAAACTCACAAGCTAATCCGAAGTTATACTGTCGTTAGCAGGAAATAAGTTCCACCTATCATAACAGCAAAAGGCAGCAGTAGAATGAAAAGAAGGCTACTGATCTCGATCTATTCAGTTAAACTTTGTGATGAATAGTAAAAGAATAAGGATAATCATGAAATTAATGAAAAGACACCTGAGGAAATTTGTTGTGCTAAGAAGCATGTATGTAAGATTGCGATTGCTATGCTCTTAATTTCATGCACAATAGTTAAAAAATCGAAGAATTTAATAAGAATATAAAGTTGTAAAATCATGCAACGAATCTTCTATTAACGGTCCTTATCAAGTAAACTTATCATGTACAACATATTTTAAAAGTGAAGACAGAAACATACTTTTCCTGCCCATGCAGGAAACGTTCAGCCGATTAACGCCCAACGACTTTTTCGACTCTGTGGAAAATGGCCCAACAGTCTAAAAATTCTGGTTACGCCATTGTCCAATGGAATACTGTCATTCGTTCATATCTGTTAAAATTTTTATTAGTCATGATTCGTATGCGCACTCGTTTCGGGTTGAATTCTTTCGCTCAATTAGTGTTCGCTCGATTAGTGTTTGATGAACCTCAAAATCAACATATTTTAGATCAAAAAATCGATACAAGAAGGGGGGTCTTCTAACGTGGTTTTTGCGTTATGAGCTCAAGATGGGTCTTGTAACAGGCAGGAGGCCTTATGTCGTAGGGAGTGTGTCCATCCCTTTAGTTGAAAACCTCCAACCTACTATTTTACGCACAATCTTTCGCCTTCAGAAAGATTATTTTCCACCCTAGTCCTCGATTCTGATAAAGGAATCAGACAAGAATGTTACTGAAAACATATTGATCCTATAAGATCCAGATAAGAATCTTAACATACTCTTACAAGATTCGTATATAAGAAAACGCTCGAAAGTGTCACGAATTTCTTAAAAGTCTTATAAGAATCTAATAAGAGATTTTGTGAGAACTTCATAAGAAACTGCTAAGAATTCTTATGTGTTTCTTATGAACATCTTATCCGGAAAAGCTACTCCGCATGTTGACGTAATAGGAGAATAATTTTTTTCCTTTTTCTACCTTGGTTCTGGAAAGGTAGCTTCACGACTCGTTCTAAGCCTTTAATGCCTGCAGAGTGGCGGTACTCTTCACGGCAGAACGAGAATAAAGTCCGAAAAAATTAAATTAGATACGAAGAAAACAGAGAGCACTATATCTCGCATGTTTGCACAGGATGGACACTTTGCGGTTACCGCAACCACAAAATTATAACGCTGCTACAATCCAAAATTGATATACCGCCTACTAATACTCATACCTATCCTATATACACCCGACCTACCCATACATACGTAGGTAGGGGTAGGTATGGTCGTACCTACGCGTAACTACTCATGTCTTGACGTTGCAGCAACACCATTGAGTGGTGTTCGATCTACATGGACATTCAGGATTAGGGAGTGGGGTGGTTGTAGCATGTGAGTGAGTTATCAAACAACATTTCATTTCGTGTGATAAAGAATATTATGTGCTTGTCCTCTTCGCGATTATTGTTGTGTTGGTTCTTTTGTAGATATAGGCATGGGTAGGTAGTAGTAGGTAGACACGCACGCGTTCCTAAAAGTTTTGGCAGCGGTAGGTATGGGTAGGTACCTGCCATACCTACTAATTTTGAGGTTGCAGCAACCCGAAATTATCCATGAGGTAAATTCAGACTCTCTAAGTGGGAGAAGACAGAGCAGCGCGATTACTAGTAATATGCATCAAAAGCCGTTACATACCTGTTCCGGTAAAGCACCAGAAGCTATCATAAAAGAACCTTTTGTTTAGTATTCACATGAGTCACCATCGGATAGTAAGTTATTACGCTCATTACTACACATCAGGATAAATAAGAATAACGTGAAAAGTCTTATCACTTTCCTACGAAGCTCTTACAAAATCTCTTATAAGATCCTTATAAGACTCTTACGAAATTCGTGGCACTTTTGAGCGTTTTCTAGTATAAGATTATTATAATATTAGGATAAGATTTTGATAAGAATTTCCAAAAACGTTTTGTCTAGGGCAGTAGCGTATACTAGAAAAGTGTTGTTCAGTTCTGGAAAACAAAGTACTGGTAGTTTGTTTTCTGCTACTCCTAGATACTAGTGTGAATTATGAAACTTTTAGTGGTCGGGCAAAATCTAGATCCACAAAAATCCACCCAGTGGTTACGCCACTACTAGAAACACACTATCGAGAAAAAAGTCAGTACGTTACCTTTTGGTTGAATCAATTTTTTTCACAAAAACAATAATGAAAAGTACTTAGACTGTAATGATCATTTGCTGTGGATAAGTTTTCAATAAAATTAAATATACCCAAATAACCAATAATTGTTCTCTATCGGAAAAAATTCAGGAGATAAAAATGTTTCATGCTATTTTATACCTCCTACACTTTGTTCATCGATAGGGCTATCGTGAAAATAATTCTTCTTTTATCAGTCCACTATTCGTTTCAACAAAACGAAGTCAAACCGCCATCATTTCTTTAACCAAGATACCTCGAGTTGCATTGACAATTATACATTAATATATTTTGTTTCTTTCAATGATTCAATTTGTTTTCATTCATAAAGTCATATGTTTAATTTCTACTGTGTAATTCAATTCGAACTGTTATTTAATGAGGTAAAACATTTCCCGATACATTTTAGGATATCTTGCACCGGCGAATAAGTCTCTAACAAAGATTTCTTCGATCAAAAAGTAGAAATGGTCTCGAAGAAAAAAGGTTGAAATCCGTATAATGCAGAAGATTCAGTCCCTGACAGTCTGAAAATAAAACTGAAATATTACAGATATTAAGTTTGGTGTTAAGAACTCAGTGCACTGTGACTAATTCAATTTGAAGTCGAACAAATATCAGAATCGAGTTCAATAGAGACTATTAAAAAAATCATAATGCTTGATTTTTAAAACCTTTTAAAAAACTTTCTTTCTAACGGTTCTAACATTTGCCAACCTCGTAAACTTGTTCGATTTTTCGAGCTATGCAGGATGCTCTTTCGAAAAAAGATATGCTCTTTTTCTGAGACAATGCTATTCAAAATTAAAAATACTAGAATATGTAAAAGGACGTGTGCACTTTGTTGGGAAAATGAAAGAAAGAGTTATTATACGTGCGTGAAACAATATTTGAATGACATGAATACGAATACGTAATGTGTTTCCACTGAGGACATAGCACCTAAGATGGAATTCATACTGAAATTTATTTCATTTAGATGAGTTAAAATAGAACTTTTATGATCAACATGTATAAAATTTTATGCATTTACTTTTATGAAATAGTGGGTTAGTTTCGAAAAATTATACATACTGTAAGTTAAGATAAACTAAAAACATAAAAATATTAGCAATTATGGTGACAATTAATATGAAAAATCATACATATGAGAAACATAAAATGATGGAATTAATAAAACAGCTTCAATTGAAATTAATACCAAATGAACTATTTTAAATATTGTATAATATCCTAGTTTTTGATTGATATATATTCAACTTTTATACGTAAATGTGTAGAGTGATTTGATTTTTTATTGAAAAATCAGTAGAAATGAACTAGATTCTTTTTGGAAGATATTGAAATCTTTGCTGGTTTCAATACAGGGTATTAACTACACATTCACGAATAAATATATATGTAAAAGATAAACCAGTCATAATTCTACCAGCAAATTTTTGAACAATGTATGTATATAAAAACCAATTTTATCTTAGTATAAATCACTAAACATCGTAATTTTGAGCTTGTTATAATTACAGTAATCAACGATCATAATATGACCGCTTTTATGTGCAGAGAGATTTATTTATTGAACCGTCTGGTGTTATGATCTGCCATTCCTAGCAGCTCATAAGACTGTGTTTTCTTCTTCTTTTCCTTTCTTTCTGTTATCGCGTAACTCTTGTTTCATTCTTTCGTTTTCGTTTCTTTCTGTTATTGCGCAATTCTTGCTTCAT